AACCAGTTGTCGTCCCACAGCACGTGGTAGTGGGAGGGTCGGCTGGTGCCCTGCCACCCGCGGGAAGCAAAAATGGGAATTTCAGGGCCAATAATCCATTCACATCCATCTGATAACCAGAGGGCGGCACGGCGTTCGATTGGTTAGTCCGTCCGCCTCACAGGGGCAGAGGTGTGGGGTTTGCGTTTCGTCCCTGCGCCCGCGTGGCTTTTCTCCGGGTACTCCGGTTTCCTCCCACATTTCCAAAACATGCATGGCAGGCTGATTGAACACTCTAAATTGTCCCTCGGAGTGATTGTGAGCGTAAATGGTTGCTCGTCAGAAATGGGTGAAGGATCACCAGAGAGCTCACCTGTATTCCAGCGTGACTGCAGAGGTAAAAGTCAAATTCATAAGGATGCGTGATGTCTGTGTCCACGGTTGTACCAGCAGGAATGTTTCCGCTGCGTCCAACCTGACAAACACATTAGCATTTCGTCACTTGTCACTCGGAACATGCAGTTGACACATTTTATCATTTCACGCTTGAAACACTTTGCAGTACTGCAACAAACGATATCATATAAGAATCCATTCTGTTTGTTTAAAAGGAAGAGGAAAAAAAGGTGTCATCTTGCGAGAACTGACTTTTTTTTCTCTAGAAAACAGAATCTGGCACGAAAAAGTATTTTGGGAGAAAAAGTTGCAAAAGTCTATTTTGGTGGGAAATCAAGTCTTTTGCCATGTTCTTTGAGGAAAAAAAGATGACAAAAAAGTCTGAGAATAAAGTTCAAGTCTTTGCAGAAGTCGTAATCTTACAAAAATAGTGGCATTCACTTTTCAAGAAAACAGTCGTACTTTTGTTAGAATATCTTTTGCAGAAAAATGTTTAAATCTTTTAGTATCAATTTTTATAAAACAAAATGGAATCCTGCAAGAATAAAATTGAATTCCTCCAAAAAATTTCGCCAGTGTTTTTTTTTGTGTTATTTTTGAGGGAACGAAAAGTAATGTGATCTTATGAAGATCAACCAAATTTAGTCAAGAAAAAAAAGTCCATCTCAAAAGAAGAGCTTGAAGTCACATTGCCACTGCTTCCAATCCGACAAATGCACGAATGCCATCCATGATATAGTTTTCAGTTGCCCAAGCCCACTTGGCAGCACTCCAAATAAAACTGAGAAAAAAGGTCAACGACAAACATTCAGAGTTGGGTACGCTCTACAAGCAATTTAAAATGGTGGCGTTTTTGCACCACGATGTAGGTGATGCCTGGCTGGTACTCCTTCTCCAGGCTGATGCAGGCCTCGCGGATGGCCAGCAGCTCGTAATACAGCACCTAAACAACAAAAAGGCATACATCACCAAACAAGAACGTACGGTATTCACAAACGGTGAGGGATATCTGGCCGCCGGGCGAAATGTCAGGATGAATTGTAAAATGCACTCCAATCTTTACAGGGGAACTTCATTGGACCATCTCTCATCATCAAACTGTTCAGCGTTTCAGTATTACATGCACAACTTGCTCTTCTCTAACAAGGTGCTATGAACAGCAACATTCATAACAGGTGTTTGTTTGATCAATGACAATTTCCAAGGATGGTCACTTCTCTGCCTTTCGGTGACTCCTCCAGTTTCTCCACGGCAACCTACGTGAGCTGAGTCAGCCCGATGGTCGACTAATTAGCCTCACGGCGCAGAGGTGCAGGGTTCGATTCCGGCTCCGGCCTTCCTGTGTGGAGTTTGCATGTTCTCCCCATGTCTGCGTGGCTTTTCTACGGGCACTGCGGTTTCCTCCCACATTCCCCAAAACACGTACGGTAGGTTAATGGAACCCTCCGGATTGTCCCTTGGTGTGACCGTGAGTGCGAATGGTTGTTCATCTGTGCGTGACCCCGTAATTGGCTAGCAACCAGTTGAGGGCGTACCTCGCCCCACCTACTGCCCGAAGACAGCCGGGATAGGCTCCAGCACTCCCGCGACCCTCATGAGGAGAAGCGGATGAGAAAAAGGATGGATAATTTCATTTGTGCTTGTGGCTAAAAAGCAAAGCCAAAAACATTTTCGATTCATCCTGAAATTTCACCCCAATAAATAAATTTCTAAATGGATCTCCCTCCACCCCGCTCCGCTGCTCTCCACCCCTCTCTCTCTCTTCCTCCCTCTCCCCAACTTTGAACCTGACCTGTCTGAACTGGCCTTCAGACACTCCATCCCTGTAGAAGATGATGCGGGTGGGCTTGTAACGTGTGGACTTGTAGAACTGGATGAGCAGCTCGCGCACCATGGAAGCCAGATCTTGGATCACCTCCTGCCTGGGCCTCTGCACCCGCACGGTGGCACAGTAGCGGCTGGGGTGGGCGTCCATGCTGCCCACTACCTGGTGGGGGAGACAAAGAGCATTGCATCACTCGGGGACATTATAAGTGTGAGCTTGAGAGACTGTCTGTTCTCCGGCAGCAGGGGGTGAGCAAATGAAACTTACTGCTGCAATCGAGGGCTTCTTGCCATCTCCGGCAGGCGGATGTGTCACATCAGCTCCCAAGAAGATGACCGGCTGCTGAAACACTGACGGCCTGCAAAGAGACGCGCGCAAAATGAGCAGCGGCCATTACCCAAGGGCTCCTGCGTTCAAGAGCCAAAGAAGCGAAGGTTTGTTTACCTTTGGTGCGGCACCAGGATGTTGTTGATGCCCCCCAGCTTGACGTTGATCTTGAGGCAGAGGTTGGAGAGGGTCTGAGGGGACGTCTTCACCACGTTCTTCACCTGGACGCACTGCGTGGCCATCCCCAGCAGGGTGTCCCCCACGCGCTTCACCTCGGCTAGATTTGGACATACAGCATCAGCTTACACGCTGAGCACAAACAGTGAGGGCTATTCGCGGTTGGTCCGGCAACTTTTTCAAGGAAGTCCACTTTTCTGACTTCGTGACTCTTCCAGTCTCTCTCCGTTGCAACCAGCTGATGACCCCCTGAGAGACTCTGAGCTCAGCGGTCATTTTTGCTTTGAGAACATCCCGTTGGAAGCCTCGCTAAAGCTTTGATGTCACGATGTCCAAAGCATGATGAAGGGAACGCTCAACACCAATTCTAATTCAACCAGGAAATGTATTTGCTAATTCTCTGGCTGCTCGTCATCTTTTCCAGACAAATACTATTTAAATAAATTCTTTTTGTCGGCACTTCAGGTGGACAACAACTGTGGTATAATACAGCTCGTCAGGTGAATACAACATCATCTTACCATAGACGGGGGTTTTGCCAGGCAGAATGACAATGATGAGCTGTAATCCGGCGTAGGTGTTCTTCAAGTGTCTAAACATGGGCTCGACGCTGTCCGCTCCCTGGGCGTACTTGCAGAAGCACGGCTGGCCCTGGATGGGCATGCCGGCGTCCTTGGAGATCTTGCGGAGCTGGTCCGTGAAGGCCCTAAACAAACATTGTGTTACATGACCAAGTCGCCGACAGCGTCTTTTAAAAGTGAACCGTTTTCACTCTTCCGACTTGAGAATGTCTTCCCGACACTGGCGCTGCGTGGCGAAGCAGGCGATGGCCCACATCTTGATTTCTACGCCAGTGTGGAACTGCTTGCCCCTCATGTCCCACACGCCGTGACTGGGCGTGGCCACTGTGCGGTTCTGAAATGACAGGTGCAGTCTCACCGTGTGTACTTGTGAGTCGTGGACTCAAACAAGCAGACGTTTACCAGCTGGAACAAACACACCTCTCATTCAGCAATGCATCTGGAAAGAATTCAAAGTCCTTCACTTATTCCAAAACATTGTTTACATGGTCATTACGATTTTTGTTTTTTTTTTGTGCATAGAATTTGTTATATATTGGATTATGGCAGACTTCTAAAGAGTGTCAGTCCACCTCTGCATCCAGACTGCGAATGAATGGCACTTGTGCAAAGCCACCACTATTTAATTTAACCATGAAGGACCGACCAAAATGACTCGACTGCATTTTCCCCTCATGGAGGCAGCACTTCATCGCCAATCCTCTGAAGAGGACTAGGCCAACAAGTGTGGCGAATCTCTGTAGAAAGCACATGGAGCTGACACATTACCAAACAAAAACAGACCCAGACATCAATGCAGCAACTTTGCCAAACATTCGCCGATCAGAAGTCGGACTCCAGCCACCACTTGAAAATGGTGGGTCTTCACCCAGCCCAGCAGGGACGTTAAGGATGGAAAAGCTGTGCATTATGTACATTTGCCAAAACCTTTCAATACATTCCCTTGACAAATGCACTCACTCGACCCAATTGAGACAGACAGATGTTAATTCGCATTGTGGCTCAGTCCCAACTTTTTTTTTTGCTTTAAAAATGCCTTCGATGCCCAACATCATCAACGTTCAGAGATTGAGCCACAAGTAGGTAGTACAAACCAAACATAAAACAGAAGCCAGCATGTTAGTTCCCCCACTGCGCAAAGTGGGGGAAGGTACAGCATGACAGACAAAAACAAGGAGAGAATGGGTGTGATTTAAAAGAAGGGTACCATAAAGTGCTCTGTGCTCACCCTGCCGCCGTACTGCAGCATGGGGGCGGGTAGCACTCGCCCCGTCACGTGGGCCATCTCGTCGCGCACTTTGAACTGGAACTCCTGGACAAAGGGGTCGGCGTCATAGTTGGCGCTGCGTACCTTGAATCAAAAGAATGGGGGGGGTTGAAAGGTCAGCTTGAAAGACTTGAGTCGGACCGAACAAAGATTTGTTCTGTGCGGCTCACCAGCCGGCTGATCTCTTCCTGTCTGTCGGGCGCAGAGCGAGCCGTGGCCTTGATCATGGTGGAAGTCTGGTTATCTGTCAGTTTCTTGATACATCGCTGTCCGGCTACAATGTTGCACACCTAACAAAAACAAAGGAGAGCGACACTTTTCCCCCCCGTCCTTTTCGTGGTTGTTTTTAAGGGTGGCTTGGATTGATGGTCTCGCTCACCTCCAGGGGTAAGTAGGTATGCTTTTGCTCCTGGCCAACCTGCAGACAAGGCAGGTGGGGGTACTTGAGCTGCAGGCTGTACTTCTCCCTGAAGTACTGGGCTACCGTGCGCTCCACGGTCTGGCCGTTCTCCAGTTGGAGGGGGAACCTGCAACAAAACAAAAGCCAAAAGGGAATTGTCTTCTTTGAACGGTGATGTGAGAGAGGGAAGGAGACAAATTTAAATTGTTAGCACGAGTTAATTACATACCAACCATGTTTACTGACATGTTTTTACATTTTTGATACTTGGGGATATTTAAGCGCAACCCTAGAATGTTATTATTGCGGCTCTTGAGAAACAAAACAAACGGGGTGGGGAGTGGGGGTGAAGGTAAATTCTTGATTAAAATATACAAACGCATGTCCAGTTGTTCTCACATGCCCCTTTTCCACCCAAAACACTTGGTGCTCATTGGGCGCCAGGGCCAGTGTTGCGCTTCGTTGTTTGCTTAACAAGCTCATACGAAGAACGTGTTTGGTTTTCCACTGGCAAAGAGCCAAACAGGAGCGACATCATTTCATCATCGTAAAGCGTCCAAACGTCACAGCTTACGTCGACATTTAACCAAGAGTGCAAGCGCTATTCTTAATAATAATAATTAGTTGTTAGCAACTGCGAGGCAACTTGGCATAGCATCGAAGACACTTGTATGCAGTCAGGGACATGCAATCAGCAAACGCTGACATCTTTCTTCATGACTGAAGATGATCACGAGGCTGGCTGCCAGTCGGAGATCGCATGCTAGCCGGGCACACCCGCGATCGCTCTTCTGGTGGGACGCAACTGTGCCGGAGTTTGCCGCTCAAACTTCCATGTGTTTAGGGAGTCCTTCCTCCACATCTGCCATTGTCATGATAACCCCGCCCACCACCCACTGACGGAGCTGGTGCCAGAGTCTGGCCCAACATACACTGTAACTGGAGCCAGTTTATGCACCAGAGCGAAAGCTCGAGCCAATTTCGTCGGTGGAAAAAGAAAGAACTGGTGCTAACTTGGGCACTGACCCAGAATTAGCACTAGCACTAGTGCGGTGGGAAAGGGCCAACAGCTGCTAATTTATTGAACACACAAAAATAAGTGACTACGAGTTTGAAAACGTTTGTGTGCAACTGTAGTTGACAAATCATTACAGTTACATTAAAATATTCCTTTGATAGTTTGCTTTGAATGAGGCTTTAAGACAAACAAACGGTTAAGGGCTGCTTCCCTACTGGATGACTAATGGTGACTCTAACATGAGCCAGTCGGCAAGCATCTGGGGTGTCAATGTGCAGCCGGTCTTAACCGGCCCCGCCCCAAATGACCACAGAACCCCGTCGTCTTGTACAGGCCGCCACGATGACTCACGTTTGATGGCTGGCCGGCCGGCGGGTCACGTTGCAGACGCGGTACTTCCTTCGCATGGTTCCGCAGTGTGTCACTTCAACCTTCAAACCTAATGAACACAACAGAAGAAGAAGAAAAAAAAAAACTTTTCCTTTCTTGCAGATATTACTATTACTATGGAGACTTTTTTTTTTTCGTCACTTTAACTTTGACCCCGATCCTCTTTACCTTTGATTTCTTTGGTGAATTTGACCCGGTGCGAGTCAGTGAGAGGGCGGGGCTGCTCGTCTATGTTGTGGATGTCCAGCACTTCGCACATGAACTGGATAACCGGCTGGGCCTTGTAGAAGGCGGTGGCAGACACTGCCAGAGAAAAGACACAATTCTCGTGACGCGAAACAAAGCGGCCGGCATCAAAGCATTTCAAGAGTACAAACTATGTCAAGTGGACACTTTATAAAGTGATGTCTACAAAGCGCGGTGACTCTGGAGTAACTGCTCCTCCTTCAAGTCTGAAATGATGCCAGCGAGTGTAACCTTTTTGTGTGCCCAACTTATTTCTGAAAACGTGCCTGTGAGCGAGCCCTTCTCACCCAGCTAATTTACATTACGCCACTTCCACACCAAGTTTCTTCGGCCATGACTTGGTGGCTAAAGATCTACCATTGCCAAGCATTAGCCGGAGGACACCACCAAAAACGCTCCGTCGAAGTCAAAAGGTAAGCAGAGCTGTGAGTTTTTGGGGGATGCAAAGATTAACGCTTGGTGGGATAAGTAACACAAATATGATTGCTCAGTCAAGTTATCAATCTCGTTTTATCTTGTGTCAGTTTGCCGATGTGCCAAATGATGTGTCATTGACAAGTGTGGTTCATGAAGTGCTGTCGTCACGAGGGAAAATTCTTTTGTCTTCTCACACTATGGGCTTTGCTTCCAAAGGAAGATCCACCATGGGTTTTTTTTTGTCTTTTAATCCTTATTTAAGTAAACAACTGCTTTCTTCCCAAGGGGACGAAAAGGGAGGCAGTGCAGGAAATGGGGGCGCAGAACCTCAGGTTAGAAGGAATGTTGTTTTCTTGTTCAATGTTGCGTATTAATAAAAAGTTGCTAACGCAGGGATGATACTTGATGCCGCTGGTCATCGTGGTGAAAGAAATCGAGGGTACACGAGGGTCGTCCGCTCAAAACGGGCTAATTTCAGCAACACAAAAAAAACTTTGCTACAATTCTTAGTCGTGATAACTTCAATGATAGCATGTTACTGAGCTCAGAAACTGTTTTGACTAGATCAGACAGGGAAGCGAGACAGGCAGCTCAGCTGCTTTGATCTCACGGCCTTCTTTCACCAACTTTTAATGAGTGACTTTGAGACCACTGCGGGCAGGTGACACAATTCCCCCCACCCCCGACAACCGTCACCACACAGACTATGAATCAGTCATGCTAAATGCAAAATTGAAGGGTGTCACTTAACCATAGTTATGTTTATTTGAAATAAGTGGTTGAGTCCGGGAGTGTGTCATTTAATGTGGGCAACAGACCCCCCTCCCCACCACACACACACACACACACACACACACACACACACACACACACACACACACACACACGAGAATACTTACCAACCAAATGAGTTTTGAAACCATTTCACAAACAAAAACTAAAATCCAGTGAGTCACTGGCACAGTTAACATGGCGGGAAAAATGACAAGAGACCAGGAAGGGCTCGCATTGAAGCACTTGGGAGCAACCAAAAAAAAAAAAACACGTGCACGCACACACATTTTTACATTTCCCCAGTGTGGGACAAATAAAGGATATCTTATCTTAACCCCCCCTTCCCCATGCGCTAACCACACAGCAACACCCTGGCCTGTTTCCATAGCAACCAATTAGTCTGCTCCCATCAGACTCAAAGGACCTCGCTTTATTCCAGCCACAAACAAACAGGCACACAAAAATGTCAGTTCACGCACCAAGGTTACGTTTTGTACAACAGTCCGCAACCTGCCACCTACCGTCGATGTTGAGCATCATCTTCCACATGGCGGGCCGCACCGACTGGTGGAAGCCGAACCACACCTCCCGGCCTCCGCCCAGGGGATGATCATAGCCCTCTGGAGCCGAGAAGAAGGAGCGGCCCACCGGCGTATACCTACGGGGGTGGAGGTGAGGCAGGGGGGCGCAAGTTTAAAGTCTTCCATGCCAATCGTGGAATCAGCGCTCATCGACGACTCGTGGCTATGTAGCAATAATCAAATTTCCGCATGGCTTTCATCAATAGGCAGACAGCAGCAGCAAGTCAGGTTGCTTGGAGCTTGCGGGTCCACTAACATGTGCTGCTAAGATGACCTGGTTGTGCTTGTTTCCTTGTACTTTTCAGAGCAGCGTTGAAATATTTCGCATATTTTACGTTCGGCTTTACAGATGCCCCTCCAAGTAACCGTGTATTGCATGTCTACGGCAACACCAGTCATTGTGAAGGCAATTATAACCATCAAGTGGTACAATTTGTTTATTTCCCTCTCAGGGAGGGGGAAGAAATATTTTGGGGTGAAAACGTGCTCCAATGAGCCCCCCCCCCCACAAAAAGGACAACATGGCAAAATGAAAGTTGCCCTGAAGGCTGAACAGTGTTGACAGTAAACAGTGCGAGCAGAGATGAGGGCGTTGGCGAGCTGTTATTGTACGGCATTTGTGGCACTCGGGTGCAAAGGGTACACATATTGCAGTGTGACAATGTGTCAGGATGCCAATGTGATAGCAGGGCCGCTGTAAACAAACCCAAATGAAAGATGGAAAGAGACGGCTTCTGATAACGCTTTATAGAAGCCACGGTGAGATTACTAGTGATGGTGCCCTTGCTGGAGCTCGGGAAAGTGATAACGGGTTATGGGGATGGCCTTGCTGGAGCGACTGAGATCCCACTTGAGCCTGGTGTGATTTCCGTTTGGATGGCGGGGGCTGATATTGATGCAGAGCGGACAGAACCTGTTCATTCACGGAATTTGTTCCAGTTCCAGACCCACCCACTTCAGCTGAAGCTGTTTTAAAGATGTTGTGTGTAGATGTTTTTATAATTCACAGTGTACAGTCGTTTGGCACAAAAAATAAAAATAAAAAAAATGGGTGATATAGCGGGGCGCAAATTATGAACAATGATTTAGCTGAGGTGTGGAGAGGCATTGTGTCAAACTCACTTCATGGACGGCAGGTGTCTGAGCACCACGTCCACAGCGTGCACGGGGTTGGTGCTAATGGGCTTGTCGAGCTCCAGTGGCTCAGGCATGCTGCGACCCGTCAGCACTTCGTGCAGCATGTGCCAGCTCACCAGAGACACAAACTTGATGGAGACCTTGAAGGGACGATCTTTGCCCCCCTCGCCCGGCAGAGTGACGTCCAGGTCCACCTGAAAAGTAGGCAAATGATGTTAAAATAGTCACGATGGGGCGGGTTTGTTTTTTGACAGGGAGGAGGACAAAATTACAAGTAGGAGGATGAGGAGAACAAAGACAAGGAGTGTAGAGAAGACACATCACAAAGAGAAAAAAAAAGTGAAGGAATGCAGACGAGGATGAAAATAAGAAAAATGTGAGAAAACCAAGGAAAAGAAGATGGAGATGGTCAGATGAGAGTGGATAAAGAACATGAGGGCGACAGACAGAAGAAAAATGAGGAAGAACAGTAAGAACGAGGCAAGACCAATCAGAAGAAGAATGTAGGAATGAAAATGTCAAGAGAAAGAGGACAGGGTGAAGTCGAAGAAAACGGTCATCTGACCCCCGTGGGCGCCACGGGCAGCGGGTTGGCCGTGTACAGGCTCCTCTTGCCATCGTAGACCGGCCTGCGATCCCCAAAGATGGTCACCTTGAAGTGCTGCACCATGGAGTCAACCACCTCCCTGTGACAAACCACCGACGGCAGCACACGTTCACGCTGTACCGTCGTCATGTGGAAGAAACGCAAAGAGTGGCCAGCAACAGGGAAGTGTGGGGACATGCTTACCTGTTGACTCGCCGCGGGCACTTGTCAGGCTTGATGTCCACCTCGTAAAGGTAGACGTCCATCTTGGGGATCTCCACCTGGAAGCAGTTGGCCAGCAGCTTGATGGGCTTGCCCATGGTGCCGTAGCCGGGCCGCCGAGGCATGGCGAACAGGGACTGGGCCCCAACGGCTCCTGCGGGAACGCCACAACATGGGGGAAGAGCGGGCTGGAGTAGTACTTTGAGAGATTCTGGTATGCGCTACTACTTCTGGTAACACATCTGATTGCGCGCAATGACAAAAATTCCAAGGGTCAACGTTGACGTAGGTGCTACGACGGAGGGGAAAACACTGAAGAATCAACTATGAGTGACATTTTCAAATGCAACGAAAGCCCCCCTCATAGCAGCCGATTCTCCACGCTTTAAAAATTCTCGGTATTTATCACACTGAGATGTCTTACATGAGTCACTTCTGACTCCCCTTTGCCCCCGCCCCCACATTGAAAAAAAAAAAAAAAAAAAAAAAAGAAAGTCTTTAAGAAGTCACTTTGTGCTCCCCCTTGCCCCCCCCCCCCCAATAAAAAAAAAAAAAAAAAAAAAAACACATCTTAAACGTGCCGCACACATGCCAGAGCTATTTTTGTGTCTGCTGAGTCTTGCCTGCCATGTCAAGCTTGGCAAAACATTTGAAGTCACCAGACTATTTAAATATGACACTTGTATCCCCCCCCATGCCCCTCACGCTCCTGCAAAAATGGAGAGTTGAGCAGGTCAAGTCAGAACGGGTAAATCAAAAGTAATTCATCGCTGATTTGACTCACATGTGGATTTGGGGGCAGGCGGGATTGAGGCCCCTGCACAGGGGAGAGAAAGTACCAAAACCACAAGTCTTGACTGAGGCTGTGTGTTTGTTTACAGTCAGTGACCAGCTTCTCTGAAGGAAGTCTGGAATTCCTGACACACGCAAAAAAAAAAAAGCCTTGAAAAGTTTTGTTCTGATAATTCCCCAAAGACCCGAGTGTGAGGCACAAAAGACAAGAGAACAGATATTTATTCTTGGCAAGGGAGCCTGCGTCTTAAGCGGACCGTAATTCAATTTGGGCCCGGATACGAGCTGGGTTAGCGCTGAGTTTGCAACAGAGAGGCGGGATTATGCAGGCAAAGGTGTGGACATTTGACGCCCCCCCAAATGCCATGATTTCAAAACGATGCTTTGTAGCCGACGATAATGTTGAGTGAACATAAGTAATCACATTATTAAAAAAAAAAAAAAAACACAATAGTTTGATGCTATTTCCACTCAGATTGAAGAAATTTTTTCGCTCGGTATGCTTGCCACTTGGACATCCAGATTGTCCACATTTTTCACAACTTGGCCAAACAGGGAAACTCATCCACACGGGAATTTGCCGCGATTGCAATAATCAACAGGAAGAAGAAGAAAAATGTTGTAATTTGTTGTCCTGTTGGTGATTTGGGTCTCATCCACGTGATTGCCTCTGGCCGCATTCTTTGGCTTCCTGCAAGAGCTCGTGTCTCGTAAGGGGACTAAAGGATGCCTAATTTGAGTACACATTGTATTCCCCAGTTCTTGCTACTGTGTGGTGGCGGGCAAGGGGACGTTACGTGCAAATGGAGAGAAACCTGAATATGATGGGAAATGTGTGTTTGGCATGATATATAAAAATGGCAGCAGAGTAAAGTAGTGGTTAGCACTCGTGCCTTCCCGTTCAGAGGTTTGAATTTCAGCCCGTTCTGGTCCTCCCTCCATGCTTAGATTTTTAGGTTTTCCTTGAGGTACCCTTTCAAATATTTTTGTGAAAATCTTCTCTCGACCATCAGATCATGATTGATTTTGCATTATAAACACTATTGTCGCCATCTTCGCTTTTTACAGTACAGTATATGACTTGAGTGTCTGTGACTTTAAGAGGCGGAGCCTGGTCTGGTGAGTGACGTGGGTGTCAGCGCATGAGAATGTAGATTTGGCTGGCTGTGAGCTGGCGAGCCAGTCTGCGCGTTGGGTGACATCGGGATCTTGTCAACTCTTTCCTCCTGATTCGCGGCTGCTGTCCCAACTCATTTCTGATGCGCGTATCTTCAGTAATGTGAACATCGGTGGAAGAATGATTCCTGCAAGCTACCAAGCCGAGATTTTGCTTCGACCGTAATTGTAATCGAATGATTCGTGTTGCTCGATTAATTACGTTGGGCCACTCCTTGATTGATGAATCAATGAACCAGTGTCAGAGCAGAATAAATCCCACTGATGAACAGAACACAGTTGTGATCCAAAATGGTTGTGGAGACGGTGAGACGTGAGAGCGACATCCATCACCCCCAAGTACACAAACGTCCGCACCACTCGCGAGCGCACACAATACAGCTGTTGTGTTTGTAATCCACAGAGGCTTGAGCTATGTGGGAACAGAGCACAATGGCGTCAGTCACACACGCAACCGCATATTGAGCGACGGCGTCTGGCTCCTCCCCCTCCGCGTGCCCTTCCCGGGCCTCTCCGGAGTGTAGCTTGTGGCATCCGCGGGAGTCGCCGGCAAGGCCAACGCCGCCACGGCCAATGCCGCCACATCCTGCACGGTCAGTCGCTGCAACGTGATAAAAATATCAGAGCGCGAGGAGGAGGAGATTGGGCGAAGCCTCCGTGGTCCAGCCTGAAGGGATCAACGGAGCCGAGCCAGGGAGGGTCAGCTTTTTGACGCCAACTTGAGCCGCTTTAAGCCAATTTACACACAGGCTAGTAAGTCAAACATCTTGTCGCTGTCAAATAAAAACCTCCCAAGTCCACTCTGAAAACTCCAGACTACATGAACGGTAACTGCCCTCCCTAATCAAGAACAATCTTGGTGTGAGATCTCCAATGACGACGTTGAGCTTGTCAGCTCCATCGTATAACAGAACTTGGACAAGCCGTGTATCAAAACGGATGTGACTGTTTTTTTTTTTCTTTTTCTGCCAGTATGTGGCAGCCGGTGGTAATCTGGTCTGCCGCTCGGACAAACGCGGCCGTGTCGTCTTTCAAAGCTGCTTGGTGGCGACAGTCATTTGCATGTTCTCACACAACTCTGCTTGTCTGCTTTTATCGGCTATCATTGAGTGTGTGTGTGTGTGTGTGTGTGTGTGTGTGTGTGTGTGTGTGTGTCATAGTGACGCGAGAAGGTCAAATTTCAACGGGGGTGGGTTGCGGGGGCGTTTGGCGCCAACGGCACAGTCGCAATAGGAAGGCAAGAGTGGAAAGCTCAAGGCCGACTAGAAGCTAACTTGTGTGATTCTCTCTCTCTCTCACACGCACACTGTACTGACCAGGGGTCCCTTCGTGGCGGACATTTTGGGTCGGTGTCATTACCTCACTTGCAGTTGTTG